ATTATAAAACGCGTATATATGAGACTTGATGTTTTCGAGGTAGAAGTACACGATTTTTTACGAAATGAATCATTTATCTGCGCAGATGTGGTAGTTCCGGGAGAGATGGATCAGGTAAACATTTCCTGTTGAACGCGCCAGTATTCTTTTATTTTACCTAAAGTGAGCGAGCGTAGCTTTATGAAGAAAATCAATATTTTACTTTTTAGTGAGTACGAAAATTTGAAAAGCGCAGATCCATAAGTAAACAGTTAATCTTTACAAGATATTTGATTTTTGAACGATTTTAAAAACATGGTCTATCTCCCCTGGAATGGCTCTGTTTTAACGTTTACTACTTCACTATATTCCTTTGGATAGGCATAAAAGGGTAAAGAAACGCATTCTTTCTATGTTTCTCTTTTCTTAATATGGTCCCACGTACCAATAACGTCCTTATTAAAAGTCCATCCATCCATCGGGACGCACTTCTCGCCCCAGTCGTCCTTGAGCTTCAACTCTTCTACCTGTTCATCGGTGAGACCCATCATGTTATGAGGCAGCATGGTGCCGTGCTTGGCTAGCTCTTCGATTTCTGTTTTTCAAATAAGAATACGCACAGGTTCAGTTAAATAGCTTCGAGTAATTATTATCCCCCTCACGACATGTGACTAATATCACACGGCGAGCAGGATTGAGGTTCATAAGCTCGGCCCTCGCCTTGCATTAACGCGCCGTTATTACAAGCCGCGGGTGAGGCCTTAACCGGGACATAATCGTTAATGGATTTCTTGCGTTAGCATTCCAATAATATATAGCTGGCGAGGTCTACGAGGGCGCGAAAAATGCTTTGGAATCTCACACTCTTGGAAACACAATCTGTAATTTATTAATTTCATTCAATTTCTTGAATGTTAACCAGATTGTATCACATAAATAAAATTGACAATAGTAAATGAAAATTCTATTTGTTGTATAAAATGAAATGAACAAAGAACGTTTTTCGCTATTTTTTCACGCAAGCAATATCAAAATTGGATTAATACCATGATGGGAAAATAAATAAAGGGATATGAAATTCATCATCGTTAGGGAAATCATTGGCATTCAAACTGCCTGCGGTGACGACCGATAAAATCGTACAGCTACATGCGTTTGGTTCACACGCGCCGTTATACGAAGGTGAAAATAAAAAGACCGAGAAAACGGTAATATGTGCTGCGTCACACGGCGTTACCTCCAGACAATTTATACCACTTATACGATTCTGTCATTGCACTGCCTAAATAAAAAGTAAAACTGCCCACGAAGGACACTACCATTTTTTGAATGCCACCTTTTTTTAAACACTAACCTAACTGAGCGAAACACGAGAGCCGTAAAATAATTACCATAACATATTCTTGAAATCTTCAGCCGGCCGTTGTAAATTGTAGTTATATCGTATATAATGTCTTCGATCCGAGCGTCCACGTGCGTATCATATAGAAACTGGCTCTCATCACCTTTCTTAATGTGCATCCGAACCATTTTCTTGGACAAAATCGCAGTACGTTCAACTTTCAATTAACGCTTACCACGTTAATTTTCAGGCACGATGAGTATCGTTACGCGATATATGTAATATTAAGGTTTCTGTGATAATTTTAACACCTGCAATCATTACAAATTATGTAAGTACGTGAGAATGCAAGTAATTTAAAATCTACTTTTTTCGTTTCGAGAAATTTAGAATCGAAGTTAAGAAGATTATTTATACTGATACATTAATTTCATTGAACAAATTCTTAACTGGTTGGACAAATTATTTAAAAAACTCAAATATAGATTACCTTCTAAGATTAAAATTTAAATGAATTCATCCTTTATTGTAAACAATTGCTAATGAGTTGCACGTGTTATATGATAGACACAGTCGACAGTTGCTTTCTTCCGGTGAAATTAGCAGCAAATTCAATGCAAACTGATCGAACTGAAATCACGACAGAGAAACGAATGGGAAATGCTGACATGTTATCCATGGTAACAAGTAATATCGATTAAACAATCCGAAATACGATAAACGTACATGTAATTAATATTTTCATTACTTCAATATGTGTAAAGCTATAAGTAAGTAATATTGCTAAGGTGTAATTAAATGGCTCGATACTCGAGGTGTACAAAATAAAACAGATTTAATGAGTATATAATCGTGTTTCATTATTGTATAATATACATATGTACACATTCTACCGAAACACGGATTACAAGAATAAAGACGATCATATATCGTTACAAATAACGGAAAAAGAACATTCAGGCGTGCTCTCGATCTTACTCTCTCTCTCTCTCTCTCTCGCTCTCTCTGTTTCATGTTCATTCGCGTGCTTTTTACTGGCGTTTTTTGGACACAAAAATATCAATATATATCTTTCTTCTCCATATAATTACTTTATGTAAATATAATATAATAATAATCATTAAATATTACCGACGTAACGTTCGTAAAATAAAAATCTATACACTTATATATTCGTATTCCGTAAATTCATCTAAATTGTGACTAGTATTATGTTAAAATACACTTATTAATTCGATTCGATGAGGTGTATTATTTTCCAGATCGCTTTCCATATTTCTGGTATTTCTATTTCCTTTCTCGGATCCTTTTTTTTGCTTTTTATCTCTGAGGCATATGGAGGTCCGAACGAAGGTGGTCCCTATGATTTAATTAATGGTGCATGCACGAACAACGTATCTCAAAGGACGCGCGACGATTCGCCCTACTCGACTGGCCGAGAACGATGTCGGAAGCAGTTATTCGAACCGACGCGACTGACATTTAAGATTTCGAATACACAATTATTAACAATAGACTCTATAACAAATTTCAATGGTTTCAACATCGATACACGACGATTGACAATGACGAGTTCCTAATTTAACACGAAAAATTTATCTCGCGCACCCGCGGGTTCGCGCGGGTAGGCGTAAGAACTACACAATTGTTCAAAATCCTTTCGCATTGCTCGATTAAATCGGGGTTAATCGTTAGATTAAGGGGAGGGAATTTCGCGAGAGACGCAATTAATTGTTATACGCTTTTCGAATCGAACACGAATGTGTGCTGCACACTTCGATGATCGAATCACGTCGCGTCTTCTTTCATATAAATAGAATACACATACACATTGTACAACATCGTATTAACGCGTACGACTACTAATTTATACAGTTTCCCTAATCGTAATTTGTCACCGTGACATTTACAAAAAGAATCGTTCTAAAATAACCATTATCGTATCGAAATACCCGATACTTCCGGCGGCATAATATGATACAACAATATAGAAAAATTGGCATTTGGTCCGAAAGAAACATACAAAAGGGAGGCCTCTTAAATATTAAATGATCAATTGTAGTAATAATAATTGTGCACGACTTCTGTTTCTTATCGCGTTCACATTACATAGAAATGTATGCGTACGTCATTTGGTAAGATTAAAAACATCGTGTTACGCGGGGATAATATTGCATACACAAACTACCGATGCGTTCGTAGCGACTACAATTGAAAAAATACTTACATCCATCGTTTTATCATCTTTTAATCCATACGATTATTGATATCATCTACCTAGCATCGGAAAAGGCATCGTTACTTTGCTAACTGGATGGTTTCTTCGCCTTGACTCGACGAAATATCGCAACGATTGTAATGTACTTTAAATGTATCTTTGTTATTGCCGACGGCAAAAGCATTACTCTTTGTATTTCGACTAACAATGTGACATCTATGGACACTTGCAAAAATAATGTGTTATATCCTATCTACACGGAGAAACATTTACTAGCCTATTTAATTTGCTTCTCTTGGATTCGGTATACTGCCTTTTTTTTTTAATAACTTTCACGATCAGTGGACGGCAAGTCCATGAACAATTAAAGAGTCGTATAGAGACAATTTTTCGTCTAAAATTACGATAACAATGAACTCTATCTTTTTCATTCTTTGACAACATGGTTGACAATTATTCGATGGCCTCTAACGCTAAACGCATCAGGTTTTAATAAAAATTACTTCACATGTATTAAAGCTCGTGCATGGTATTGTTAACATCTTTCTTCCTCCTTTTCTTAAATATCATTTGAATCGACTCGAGAAACACGCGATGGGGTTCATCTTTAAATAGCGAGTTAATTTTTTCCTAAGATCCCATTATATCCATCAAAATCTTTTAATTCTTGGCGTTGATCAAGTGGATGAAATATCGATCCTACGTCCGTTTATTCCTCGTCTATCGTGGGAATTCTGCCTTCTTTCTCTTGATCTTCACGAGGAGTATATGCACCGTGCAACGGGGATCGTTGCACGGTAGCCTCTTCTCAGACCTTGCTTTCAGGACCGTCTGTTGTATGTTTGAAAGAGTTACGAATTTTACTCAGATGAAGAGCGGCAAGATGTCCATAACTTTTGTTGTACCATTCTGGCGTGCGTCCCCTAGAAGTAAAAATCAAAAAGAAATTAATGAGGAATTTGAATACATCGCTGTAATTAAATGTAAAAACAATAAATTTCCAGTTCTTATATAATGCTACTGATTACTTTAAAATGACGTTACTTAAAAATAAAATTTATATGTGTGCATTTTCTATTATTGAACTAAATTCGCTTTGCATCAAGATAAAAAAATGATTTTCATTTAATAGTAATATTAAATTAATTTTATGGAACTAAGGTATACTTACTTTGTATCTACTCTAGAGAGATGCATGATCCGTGATTTACCACTACCGCAGGGTTCGATAAGATAACGCGAAGCCAAAACAATGCCACGAGTTCCGCCAAGCATGACAGGAGCATCCGGATGTTCCACGGACGTTTCTACGATGACGCAGGCCCCTTTGGGGAGGTCGTTACGCCAGGATCTGCAAAATACAACATCACATTATTTACAATCCCACTGTTCTCCTTTTATAGCGCGCGTACATCACCATTGCTATTTGTCGCGATCGCTTCTTCAATGCGATTCAATGTTACGCTATCGGAATGAATAAATAAATTCGTAACACACCTTAGCACACAATAATCTCTGGCAGGAAGGGGACTCATGTTCCCAGTGGCGTATTGGAAGACCTCCGCATTGGTCTCTAGCTTAGCGACCAGTCTGTATTTCAGAAGCTGAGGATCCCAGATATGTCTCTCTCTCAAAACACGATGAAGAAGCTCGTTCGGTGGTGCCTCCACTTCGGTCGACACTCGCCATAAACGGAGTGGGTGCCCGTCGCCGACCTTCTTATAAGCCATTTCTACCGTGCTGTCCGCTGGGTTATTCACGGTAACCCATCCGCGACTTCTATAAAAAATAATACATACAACAAACTTATTTAAAGAAAGATATCCAGAATATTATATTGTTTTTAGTAATTTTTAAAACTTTGGAAAACTGTTTGACTCGAACACTTCTAATGAAAAAAATTTAAGAGAGGAAATTCTTAAATAAAACTTACTTCTCGCGCGCCTCTTTTAACAAAGCTGTAGTGCAAGCATGAAGATAGCCCCTCCAATCCTGTTTCATCTCGGATCCTAGCTCCTCCAGCACAACCGGGATGCTCTCTTCCATGTAATTGAAATGACACTGAGTCAACATATCCGATGAGACCTGACGCAACATGAAACAAAAAAACAAGAATAACAATTAATTTGTGTCTGCCTTCCGATTCTCGAAAACGTTTGTAGTCAAATGTGTAGACACGCATAATGTATCATTCGGATTTAAGCGATCACAATCGCCGTTTCGAGACGGCGACGGATGACGCTCCTCTCGAACGACCTGGACGGCATCGAGCCACTCACCATGAATAATTCACGATGCATCTTGACCAGATACAGAAGACAGTCGTGAGCGGCTTTGTTTTCCGACAGTTCCCTCTGATCGGGAATGCCCACGGTCTTTCTCCTACGTGGCGATACGCTGCTCGACCTGTTGGTCACGTTCGCGTTGCTGTGGTTGAAGTGGAACAGGCTCGGTGCCAGGCACACGGCCAGGTTCGAGGCTGTCATTTGGTTGTAGGGAGCATTGCTCGCTACGTGGTTCAGGAAATCGAGCAGGGTTTCCAACGCCTCCCGGTGCTCGTCCGGCAACAACAGCAACACGCATTGTACCGCGTCTGGTCGTAGTTCAATAGGTACGTCTGTAACAGCAAATTACAAAGTAATGTACATAATGTACATGTTTTATAGAACGAATAACAAAACAATGAATTAAACATTGTTTAATAAACCAATCAATTTTTTTTAATAAATGATAGTATAGCAATTTTTTAATTTTGAATACTCACGTTGGAAAATGGCAATAAAAGTCTCGGACAGCTTGTTCGTTAATAGGGCTTCCGGCAACTCCCTGAAGTACTGTTTCACAAGATCAGCCACATCGAAGGCCTGCTGACCGTCGAAATTAATGTTATCCCCCAGTGTTTCGGTCATCATTTTTAATTTCTGTATCCTAGATCTGACGCCGCTCTTCCTGAAGATTCCAACTTGATCAAGAGCGTTTGCTCTCAGCCACCTCAAAGCGATTTGGATGCACTTTGGTAAGGCCTGCCCAGTTCTCTGCAGAGATAATAGTAATGGGACGCCGAAGACTGTTTTGTCTTTATAATCAGGAGTCTTTATCTTCCTGATGAACTTTGGCAACTCCCAGTTCCAACCCGTACGATGAGAGGGACAGTATCGTTCCATGCAAGCAGTCAACTTCAACAAAGCCAGCTTTCTCAGAACCAAAAGTTGCCCGCAGGACATTGAGGCCATAGCGCGTGGGCAAAGGGGATCCAATGGTTCAGGGTAGAGAGATCCCCTCTGAAAACTGTGCCACCTGACAACGGTACCCTTGTGCCTCGGAGAATCCTCTTCCTGATCCGAATCACGACTCGCCACCGTAGAACTGCTCTCTTGACTACCTGCAAGCTCGGAACTCCTGGACCTTGATTTCTCTCTGTAAACCGTCACCTCTTTCGTGGTAGGTTTGCCTTCCCTGAGGGAATCGTCGCGATGTCTGAAGCTCTTGTGCATCTTATCTTCCCTCTTCAACGCAGCTACCTTATCCTCCTTGTACCTATCTTGACTTTGCCCCGTCAACTTGTCCCTGTACCTCTGCGACTCTTTGCCGAGATTTAGACTGCCACCGCGACTGTTTATGGGAGTTTTCGTCGGCGAATCCTTCGGGCTTTGAGGATGAGCAGCCACGTATTCCAAAACCTTCGCGTGATTGCTATTCGCGTCTCTGAAATACCTGTGTCGCCAACTGGTAGGCTGGCACTCGGAATCGCTAAGCGCACCCTGATCCTCTCGGCCGCGATGCAGGAATCTCCTAGCTCGATTCATCTTCGTGCGCGTCGGTGTAGGCGTCGGTCCACCTCCTTGAGACCCGTCCGAGCAATAACTCGAGGAATCGTCGCCGAATGGGCTAGGCGTGTTGGTCAAAGGCGAAGGCGGAAGGTGATAAGGAGAAGCTGGTAGCGTGACGGGCGACCCGGGTACATGAAGCGGCGATCCAAACACCAAGTCGTTAAGGGATACCGGCGCCGGTCCAGTCGGCGATACGTCCACACAGTTCAATTCTTTCATTTTTTGTTGCATTGTCATCACGTCCAATATCTGGGGACTGCTGATTACGATACCGTCGCGGTTCTGCTGTTTTCGTCGCCGGGATTTGAGCGACTCGACCCGCCTAAGAAAAGCTTTGGCTCCGTCTTTCAGCCTCTCAGAGCCGGTTCTTCGAAATCTGGGACTGATCTCATCGGGAAGCGTCCCAGGTGGCAGGCTGCTGTATCTGAGAGTGTCCAACATCGTGTCCTCGGCCTCTTCGGCTTCCAGTCGATCCTCCAGCGAGTCTTCCTCGGATTGCACGTTCTGACCGGCGATCGCCTGTAGCCTCTCGACGTTCGTTTGCGTCACTTCACCCACACGGGACCAACGTCTGGTTTTCTTCTCGAATGTCCAGTTTTCGCTTAAAGCACACTGTGTATCTTCGTCCGAATCATCGCCGCCACCCTGTAACGGTGAAATAAGTCCTCGGTAAGTATACACGCGCGGCAGATCATGCGAGCGAATTTCAACAGTGTCCTTAATTAAAAGGAAAGTTACGAAACGTGGCCTTAATCGCGTGTCTCATTTACATAAGTAACAACCGTACCGTTCATAAGTAAGAATTCCTCTTTTCAACTCCCACGTTATAATACGAAGCGTTTCACAAAACTGAACGATATCCTTTAAATCACTGATTAAAAGCATCCCACCGATTTTCTTGCCTAGACCAATAAATTTCAGATTACACGCATAATCATACCTAAAACTTGACTATTTTTTAACGTGTTATTGATGGCGAGAGTCTTGGAACGTTACGATGAACTAATGACGTGATTCAGAGAAGACGTGACTCATGATACGAAGCGGTGCGACGCGACGGTCGGCGCGGAGGAGAGTTTCGCCCGAGATTAACGACTCGTAGCGGATGTTTAGTGGTCGGCAGTGGTTGATAATCAATTTGCGTTTGATGTAGCGACAAATTAAGGACCACCGTCGAGGACGCTATCGTCGGTTGTAATTAATTATAGAAAGCGTTTCGAGCCCGGCCACTTTTACCTATGACCTCCTGCGATCGGCAGCGACACCGTGCACAAGCCACGAAAGATGAATGCTCTTTCCGGCACGCGTGAGAAGAAAAAGCCTTTGGAATAAGCTATATCAGTGCCACAGGAGCAGCTCGCGTCGCCTCTTTTACGAAAAAAACCGAACACTTACATATCGCGTACGCTTTCTACTTTAATGCAATATTCATTTATATCGCCCGGGATCTTGGATCTTTCTAATTAATTAAGGATACAACGAACGAACTTATGTAACTTTTTTGTCTAGACCAAACACGATAATAAGCTTAGCAAGATTTTAATCTATTTCATTTATGGCGCACCTAATTAGATTAGTTTCCTTTTTACGATAATCGTTGTAATCCAGCAAACTTTAGGAACGCGAAGAAAAAAGGAAAGAGGTTTCACGTAATATTCTCGTGCGAATTTTCACGGATTTGAAACAAAGAGTTTTTATTGATCAACAATACTCTACTTAACTTGTTCAATTGAATAAGTCCGTGCAATAATTAAAGAGCTGCAGGGAATGAGGACGTTTCCCGAGAAATGCCCCTTTCCGTTTCACTACATTTTCCGAATCTACGGTTTGAAATATGTACACGTACATATCCTAAAAGAAATTTTCTCAAGAAACGCCCTTCTTTCATTCGACTGCTAATTGAACCCAAAATAGGAATATTTAGAAAAACTCTTTGTTAATTCTATTACTATTTCACGCTTTATTATTGAGTAGACAAACGAGTAAACGGACAGCGATTCGTGGGAAGAAGTTTAAGCCCTGAGGAACGACACTCTAGATCGAGACTACAAATGACTAAAGTAAAATGCCTCGTTCCTCTTCCGACTATAGGCGAGAAGCCTAGTCCGTTTTCTAACAATAAAAGCCGACGCTCGGCTTGGCTCAGCTCGTTACGAAACTTGACGCCTTTGTTGTTTCCACGTAGGGCACCACCGCGCCGCGGCAGAGCTACGAGAAGAGAGCCCAGTCAAGAGAGTGTGTGACCTTACGTGATCCTCGCCACATGACAATGGACCGGGTTTCACCTCGCATCGCTTCGCACGGTTTCCATCGGTGGCACCGTGGCGAACAGAGGAGCCTAACTCCTTCGCGCGCGGACCCGTCCAGGAAGCGAGCATCACGACCTAACCATCTCGTCCCGCGACTTTTTTCCGTATCATGGCGAGCCATGAGGACATAATGGAAGCTGTCCCGCTACGGGGGCGCACGCCGACCAATTCGAGGTCCCAACGCCGGGTCTAATGAATGTCGCTTAACCCCATTCCTATTTTTATGAAATCTTTAGAAGACTGTATGAAAGCACTTCGATAGTGGAAATATTACAAATAAAGAAAATTTAGTGTGCGTAGGAATTTGTAACAGGAATTTGCTAGGCGAATTCTAAAATGTATATGTATTATATTCATTAGCAGATGAAAGATTTTTATAAGTCTATTCAAAACTCGTGACATAAATAAAAACATAAATGAAACTATTGGTTTTTATGAATCAAACTTCAAGTGTAGCTCGCCGTTATTTAAAAGGGTTGAAATTCTGGAGTGAGCACGGTGCAGCTAATAAAACGAATATATTTATAGATGTTTACGTTGAAAATCTAGTATGGTATAACCCTTTCGCTTCTCTTGTAACATTATTGCAGGTGATTAATTTTAATCGAGGACGCGGCGCTGAGCAACGAGATCGTTAAACGAAATTAACAGGACATTCGAGGAAAGGGAATGCGAAATAATATGCAAAGTGGCTATTCGCGAGTCCTCGTTACGCAAAAAATTGCAGCTTGTGTTTCTTCATCTCCCTTTCTTTCGATGAACGTCACGAAACTCCGATTACGCGAAGAAATAATCAACAGTCTCCGATGTGGGCCACTGACGTGAGTTAAAAATACTCAACGTTACAGAAATGAGGTGCTCGTCAAAAGTAGTGCTCAATATCTGACCAGAATAAACTCTTCACACTTTCAGTGCATATTTAAATATTGAATGATAAATAGTCAACTGTTAGAACATTAAAACGAATGATTGGATCAAGTGTGTCGCTGGCTTCATGAGAGTTGCTCCAAGTTTGAAAATATACATATCTAAGAATTGTGCGAAAAAATAAATAAGTGTACCGAAATAATCTTTTTCAATGAAATAAAATAGAATAAGTCTTTCATAAAAATATTATTAACCTTATTATAAAATGTTATTATTTAACGTTATTATAAATCAATCTAATAAACGAATATAATTTGTATAAAAGGGATCTCACCCGCACTATAGCCCATCTTCTTTATTCATAACAATATATTATAGAAAAGGTGATTAATTATACAAATCGTTACATAAAGTATTTAATATTTCTAAAATATTTGATTTCGAAACACTGTTAAGAACATAGCCCATCTCTCCCATAATACTCTATGATGAAAGACGTGACGTAAGGTACAACCCCAGCCCCGATCGGTTCGAAGAGAATCTTATCGTCAAGAACATTAGAGAGACCGAGACTTGTCGGAAACGGAGGATGAGCCTGCGTTTCGCGTGCGATTATCGGCAATCTTTTACTTCTTACTGCCTGTACGTATGCATCTGCATTTCCGTTGCACCGTGTTACCGTGGGACTTGACGATGATCGTACACGTGAGTTATTTTCGTGGCGGCTCGCGCGGGATCCAACGAGCCGTGTCGCCCCACGTTGGTTACGACGTCACTTCCGTCTAGGCAGGTTGAACAAACCCTGGCGTTTTATGCGTGACAATGGCTCGGAAATGGACTCGTAAAATGAACAGTGTTTCGTACGGATTTTATGGAGTTCTACTATTTATTCTGCGCGGTCTTAAACTCGAATGTTGGTTTATCTTTCCTTTTTAACTGCTGTCCCGTGCGCTTATGAGATCTACACTTACTACCTCTCACCCTCAATGCACGTTATTATTACATTTACAAACGCCGATCGAGGTTACCTGATTCAATTGATATATCGAACTCTTCCGACATTAATCGGTCAATAAAATTAATTAAGAGTCTAGAAGACTCACGTGAATTTTCTAACATCGACCGATAAATTTTTGTCGATTTATCGGTAATCAGACAAAAGTAACGCAAAACGTGGGTTTAGTCTATGCATTTTTATTTCTCAAAGAATCAAGACAAAATTCGTTCTTGTCTCGATACTGTAAGCTATAGACGAACGTAATCAAATACGAATAAAATCAATAGAAATGTTTTACCTTTCTTGAGATTCAAAGGCAAAAAAAGAACGAACTAGTTTTTACTAAATGTACGTGACATCTATACCACAGTTTTGTGGTTTCCAATCTAAACAATCTATTCCAACTAAACTGTCATTATTCATCGAACTTTTTTTAAAGGCAAGGCAAGCTTCCACAAGATACACATCTCATCGAATTTCTGTCATAAAGTATTCCATTAAAACGTTATGAAAGTGTGCGGTTCTTCGATCAGCACAAGCTGCAAGCAAAAAGAATTCGTGCAGACTCGTCTCAGTCCGAATTTAGAATGCTATGACAGTACGATGACCTAGATCGTGGTCGGTACTTGTTAAAAGATTCCTCGGAAAATTAGTCGTAGTCGTAGGCCACCCCCGTCAAGTTTCAATTAAACGGTTGCTTCTCGCTTTCTCGATCTCGGTGGCTCTGTAATTGGTACGGCGCGTCGCGGCGGTGACGGACCAACGGATCGTTTTCCCTTTGAATCGAGAATGTATTTTTGGCCGGAGGAAGACTTCTTCTTTTCGTTATTTCGTTCCTAACTCGAATATACACCTATGTCACTTTAAGCGACTGGGAAAGAGGGAAACTGTTCCTTGGTCTTCATTAAAAAACAGTTTTACCATTTTTATTTTATGTCCCGATACGTTGCTTCGGTTGCGTCGCAACTCTCTCAAAATGCCATACGGTCGTGTCAATTCGTAGAACGTAATTAAAACAGACTTCTGACACGAGATATCTAATGCGATATGACTACGGGGATAAATGATTTGAAAGTTGAATGAGTTAGTTACGGAGAAATTACTGTGGACGCAAAGCTGATCGTACATTTGAAAATACTTTTATGAAACGCCCACACGCGTATTCATCGTTCATAAAATTTTTCTAATGTTTAACGTTACACATTGTCGGTACAAATGAGAAGTTTTGAATAAATGCATGTTGAATAAATAAACTAGGTTTTGTAAAAACCTAGACTGATATTCGATGTAAACTTATTATGATAAAAAATTGCGCATCCTTGCATTTCCAACCATAGGATATACAACATACATAATATACAATACGAAATAAAATACTTAATGGAACCTTATACGAAATCAATTCAATTCAGAAGTCGAAGACAAGAAGAAAGGAGAGGGACGAAAGGGCAAGTAGTTGGTTGAAAGGAGGC